AGGGCTGCCAGGGTGGTGGTGGAGGCAGAGGATAGGATTGACACTGTAGTAGGAACCCTTCACACAACACTCAATAACTCACTTGGGGATAAGTCAGGAACAAGACACAGACACAGGTCATCAGGCTCTTGGGCCACAGGGACATGGTGCATATAGATGGACCTTAAGAGACAGAGATTCCCAAAACCCCTCCAGGGTGAGCTGGAGTGGGTGGCAGCACCGAGACTGGGGGCAGGGGGTGTCAGAAAACACACTTGAACAGACTACACCTTAAGTACATCCAGTGGTCATGTGTAGACAGGCCAGCACCCAGCCTGGAGAGGGATGGAGGTGGAGTCAGGGAGCTCCTCCCAATGACCAGGGGAAGCCTAACTCCACACTCCTCCTGCCTGCTGGATCAGTGTCTCCTGGGGTGTGGTGCCAGGCGCTCAGGCTGGGCCCTGCCAAGAAGCAGTAGGATCTAGGGCCCCTGAGGGTGCTGAGGTCACAGTCCCCTGTAGGGACTTCTGCCCCAGGCTGTAGGAGTGCAGCCTGCAACTGAGTTCCATATGAGCTACCTGGAGAGTTCTTCAGATCAGAGTGGTCAGTGCCTGCAGTGACCCCTGAGAGTTTGTAGCCCTGCCCCCAGCTTGGACCCCACAATAAGCATTAGTGAGCTTTTACTTGGAAAAAAGTTCTCCCAACAACAGCAGAAGCCTGGCCCTGACATCCAGCCCCACCTCCCATCCCCAGATGGTCTGACCTCTGCCTCCAGGGCCATGGCCCCTGGTAGAGGCTCAGCCAAGGGAAGACAGAGCACTGGGCTGCCCACCTGTCTCGTGGCTGAGACTAGGGCTTCCCGTGCTATACCCAGGGAACCCTGCGTGAGGCAGGATAGGCAGCTGCCTGGTCAACACCCTACACCTGGTAGCTTCAGCCCCACAACAAGTGCCTGATTTGACAGTGTCCCTTCATCCTCCAGAAGCCCGTGTGAACTGCTCCGTCCACCCCCTGCTGCTGGAGGACTCACCTTCCTGCCCCAATCTCTATGCCAACTGGCTGGTCATCCTTCTGCTGGTTACCTTCTTGCTGGTCACCAACGTATTACTCATGAACCTGCTCATTGCCATGTTCAGGTGCCCATTCCCTGCTGTGTCCATGTGGGTTCTTGACACCTCGCTGCTGGGCCCACTGGCAGTGGGGGAGCCCCGGGGGGGAGTGTGGGCCCACCCTGGTTCCACAGGTCCTCCCTTCTCCAGAAAGCAAGCCCAGGTCTGGTGCAGTTGGGGGGCTCCACTGAATGGACAGCTCTAGGCATCTGGGAGAAGAGAGTGTGGAAAGGGGTCCCTGTGGATGGGCCCCACCTACAGACTCATATTGTAGAGGAGGTGCTGAGCTAGTTTCTGACCCCCTGCCTGCCCAGAGGCGCGGGAACACAGCCTGCTCTTGGCTATACAGAAGGACAGGCCGTGTGCCAAGGCTAAGGCCCAGTGCACTAAGAGCACGGCCTGTGCCCCACAGCTACACATTCCAGGTGGTGCAGGGCAATGCCGACACCTTTTGGAAGTTCCAGCGCTACCACCTCATCAAGGAATACCATGGGCGCCCCGTCCTGGCCCCGCCTCTCATTCTCCTCAGCCACTTGAGCCTGGGGCTCAAACGGGTCTTCCGGAAGACCCAGGCGGCCCAGCATAAGCGGGAGCACCTGGGTGAGGCCGTTGCTGTCCTGAGGACTCCCTAGGGAGGCCAGGGTTGTGGGGACTCTCCCTGGGCTCTGTTGAGGCTGACCAGAGCCCTAGACCCAGAGCAGAGGGATCTAGGCAGCATGCGGCCTGCCCTTGCCTGGCTGCCGTGTACCCAAGCTGGGTGCTCTGGAGCTCCTGGGGATGCAGACCTGGGGCCTGCCAGGCTCACTCCTGTCCCTTGCCTGCCCAGAGAGAGAACTGCCAGACCCCCTAGACCAGAAGATTGTCACCTGGGAGACTGTTCAGAAGGAGAACTTCCTGAGCAATGTGGAGAAGAGAAGGCGGGACAGTGAGGGCGAGGTGCTGCGAAAAACTGCCCACAGGTGCGGGTTGGCATAGCCTGCGGGACCCAAGACCAGGCGGGCTCAGACCTTGAACCCTTCCCCCACCACAACGCTGCCGAGATGTAGGAAGGGTCATGCCTTGGAGGCAGGTAGCCCAGACACAGATGTGGCTGTTCCTCTGAGGTATGTGTCACTCTAGCACCTTGGTCTAGAACATGTTCAGTAGCCTCAGTCTGGAGGCTCTACCTGTCCTGGGCATCTGGGTACCTGCCATTTCCATTGGTAGAGGGTTGACACTCTGTGGTGCCAGGGACAGGATATGGGCTGGGACAGAAATTGAAGGGACAGAGACCTGGCCAGGTCACAGAAGCCTGCCTACCTGACGCTGAGGAACATGGGCCAAAAAGCCTTGCTGCCTTCTGCTGCGGTACTCCGCCTTCTCTTCATAGCCAGCCCTTCCTCCAGGGCTGCATGCCCTGCATCTCTGGCTGGCAGGAGTGCCTGGTGCAGGGATGCCCCAGGAATGCTCTATACCTTGAGACCAGCCCCATGGTGCCCTCAGTGCCACTAACCCCAGATCAGGAACAATGGAAGAGTGGACAGGAAGGGTCCAGAGTACCAGACTGAGACCCTCAGAGGCCTGGTGACAGGTGGAGAACAGAATACTTCCCCATGGGGTGTCACACGGCTGTCACAGCCACAGCTGTGCCTGCCTCTCCACAGAGTGGACTTGGTTGCCAAGTACCTCGGGGGGCTGCGAGAGCAAGAGAAGCAGATCAAGCGTCTAGAGTCACAGGTAAGCCAGCAAGCAGTCCTCCCATGGAGCACAGGAGTGGCCAATCTCTGAGGCCCCAGGGCAAAGACATAGCAGCCTAGTCCTACCTCCAGTGCTGGTGTGTAGATCCAAGAAGGCCCCCCAATTCATGCCCTCACTGTCCTCTTGCTACATAGCACACAGGAACCATGCCCAGAGGGAGGGAGGGGCCTATAGAGGGAGCGAGGGTACAGATAGGGAAGGGGATCCCCATATCCTGGCAATCTCCCTGCCCCTACCCTCCAGGTTAACTACTGCACACTGCTCCTGTCCTCCATGACAGACACACTGGCCCCAGGTGGTGCCTACTGGAGTAAGTGCGTCCTGGGCGTTGGGGAGTGTGGGCAGGGGTTTGCTCAGTGGTCTAGCCTTCCCAACCTGCTCTGGAGACCTCTGGTGCCCTTGCTGGCTACTGCTCCTGAGGAGTGCAGGTGCCAACCAGGTCACAAGGCCTTGGGATCCTCAGATTCCTGAGGCCCTGCCAAGTGCTGCCTCCTCCCCACATTCATTTTACTCTAGGCTTTCTGTTTCAGAGGGGTATTCTTTGGGAACCCATTCTGAGGACGACATCTGGGACCTCAAGTCCTACGTCTGCCCAGGCTGGTGTTAAACAGCTGAGGAAGGTTCTTTCTTTCCACTAGGCTCTCAGAACTGTGGGGACAGGAGCTGGAAGGCCCCTGCTAGCCACGGAGGTCCGGGTGGCCAGGAGCACCCAGATGTTGACTCTTCACCCTCAGACACCTAAGCTACATGGGCTGCCACACCACAGGCCCAGCTGTCCTGGAGCCCCAGGCCTGGCTTACCAGGAGCCAGCCTGGGCCTCAGGGATATACCAATAATGGCCTCCTTAAAGAGGTGGCCTTCCTGGGCTTATCATAGACCACCTGTATTGGTACTTCTTCTTCAAGAAAATACATCAAGTCTCCTGGCACCTTCCTGGGACCCCCAGGGTGACACTGGAGTGTTGAGGGGTGGCTCCCCTGGAATAAAGAATTATGTGCCTACCTGAAGCCCCACTGGCCTGGACTGGGCAGCAATCTCTTGACCAAACACCTGAAATGGAGACATCTTTCCAGGGTGGGCAGCTGCTCTGGGGCCTGCTCCTGCCCCAACTTGGGTTACTGACAAGAAACTGACCTTTCTTTGAAATGCCAGTGGTCACAATTTCTGTCCCTTTAAGACCTCAATGGCCCATCAAGAGTCACCTACCTGACTAGTCATGTGGGACTGGCCTGGATGTCCACTGTGACTATTAGCTGCCTCCCCCCCATAAATAGCTGGCAGGTGCAGGCTGATAAACCAATTGACAGGCCACCAGTGACCCCCACTAGATACCTAATGCTGCTTTATTTCCACTGGAGCCTAGGAGTACACCCCACCTGGCCAGAGCCATCCTGAGGGTTGAGGCACACAGGGCCCCTGTTGTCAGAATATGTGGACAGAGCTCTGAGCTCCTGCGCTGGTTCTTCCTTCAGACCAGCCCTGGAATGGAGCCTGCAGAAGCAGTGCTAACAGTGCTGGGCAGTAGAACAGGATGGCCTACCGCCAACCCCGCCCACCTTCTCTGCAGTGCCACAGGACCACTCTTGATCCCTGGAACCCAGCCTGGGCAGGGCTAAGCCCATGGGACACACAACCCTAAACACCTGTCATATGCCCATCTTCATGCAGCTTGGGCAGGGAACCCACCCAGCTCCCTAGTTGCCTGCTCACATTCCAGTCTCCTTGTATGGCCTGCCACATAGTCTCCCATGCAGACTGATTGCCCACCCAGGCATGCCAAGGGCCCAAAGCTACAGATGCTGGGCTTAGTAGCTCTGGAGGGCCTCTACCAGTGATTGGTGTTGACTGAAACCCCTCAAAGCAGCCCTGTATTAGGCTAGGGGGTGGGGTCAAGGGTGGCAGTAGGGCACTGCAGAAAAGCCAGAGAGAAAAAGGCGAAGTCCCCTACATGATGCTGTTGATGAAAACCTTGGGTAAGCAGGGTCCAGACACAGAACTGGAGAAAGACCCTAAATCTTTATTTTCCCACGATGGACATCAGGGAGTCAGGCCTTTGATGTCTGTGACCACCCCACCATCCTCCATGTCTAGGCAAGGTCTCTGTTCAGGAGAAGCTGCTGCTGCCTCCTACAGGGAGCCCACTGGCTTCCCTCCAAAGAGGATGCCGCTTCTACCATGCAGCCTGGTGGGTTGGTCAGGCTGGATGTTCTTTCTCAGGCCCCAGACCCTCAGGGCTGCTGCCCCTGTTCCGGAAATGCTCTCTGCTTCGCTTTTTGCTGACATGGAAGCCAACTGTCTCTGCCCCTGGGGTGCTTGGTGAGGACCCAGTATGGGCAGCCCCTGGAGGCCTCATTGCTTCCTGTGACCCCTGGGAGCTGCTCCATTCCTCAGCCTCTGGACTTCCAAACCCTGCCAAGTGGGTCAGCTCTACAGGGCCCTCACCCCCAGAGTCCTCTTTTGTCAGGACCCTTTTCCTCTCAGGTCTGGTCTCACTGGGCCGGACTGGCTTAGTAAAGACTACTCTTCCTTCACCACAGCTGGAGGGGTCCTGGTTGAAGGAAGGCGTGTAGTCAGTGGGCACTGCAGGGCTCCGGGAGCCCAGGAAATCAAGTGCCGCGGCCCGATTGCCCTGCTCACTGGCCTCAGCCACGTCCTCCAGGCTGTATTTGGTCCAGCGCTCAGGGTGTGCCACATAGTCAGGGACTGGGGCTACTCTTGAGGGATCAGGTCTCCCAGGAGCCCTGCCTAGGTCCCCCGCTGGAGGCTGGCTTGAGGGCACCAGGGGCCGCTTGAAGTCACCGTTGTCACTCATGTTGGTTTGGGCTGTAGAGGATGGGGGCACCCACTTGGCTGCCCCTTCCAGACAATCAAAGATGCTGTGGCTTCGCTGGGAGAAGGTAGAGCTCATGCCTCGCAGGTGGAAGGGCTGCACTGCAGGGGTGGGAGTGCCTGTGGGGCGAGGAGGGGGCTCTTCGAGCTCTGGGTCCTCGTCGGGCTCCCCAGGCAGGACCTCTGGAGACAGTGATTCCACCTCGGCACCACCTGGCCAGCTGAGGTTTGAGTCTGAGTCACTAAGAGAGACGGAGTCAGAAGGCAGGGTGTCGTACTCCGTCACCTGCTCAGCCTCCAAGCCAGGGCAGGGCTCGCCGGACCCCGCCTCGGCCATGTCTCTGCAGGCCACAGCACAGTTTGCGAGGAGGAAATCGTGTAGCACAGCTCCCTCTCGCAGACCCAGCAGGCTCAGCAGCACAAAGAACCACGTCCTGGCCCCGAAGGGCACCCCTTCACCTCGCGTGCCACGTGCCTCGGGGGCATAGTGCAGCCCTGGCGAGGTGGGCGGAGGCGCCCTGGCGAAGGTCCCCGGCGTTCTCAGGCCCAGCGGAGCTGCTTGCTGGTGGGGCCTGGCAGGAGAGAATTAGCTATTAGACCAAAATGCGAACACCCGAGAGACCGACAGGGTGACGCGAGGCGCCCCAACGACCCCTACCTTAGATGCTGACAATGTCCCGGGTAGGGACAGCACAGCCACGTGGCCTGCGAGGGCTCGGTACAGCTAACAGCGCGCCGCGCTGAGTTCGAGGATAAAAGCGCTAATCCCGCGGTCGGCACCGTGCGAACGCCGGGCGCCCTAGGCCGGGATGCTCACAAGGAAGGGCAATGGCACCCCATGCCTGTTCAGAGCCGGCAGGGCACAGCACCGGCGCTAACCCCTCCGCAATCGGAGTCCTCGAGGCCGACCGTGGGCCCTCCGGACGCCGCCGGCCGCGGGATCCGGAACTCAGAGCTCTGGGGTCGCGCTCCCCGCCCACACGCACAGCCCTCTGGGAAGCCGAGTCCTATCCCGCCCGCGTACCGCGGCTTCCTGGTCCAAGGAACTACATCTCCCACCTCTAGTGTCTGGGACGGCCCCGGAAATGGGCCCGGCAGGAACCGCGGGAAGGCAGAGGCGGAGCCAGGACCGTGCTTCCCACAATGCTCCAGGGCTACCGGCCCACGGCCTTTAGCGCCGCCTGCCGGAAGCAGTGAGAACAGCGGGCGCCTCGAACAGGAAGTGCGTCATCGCGCACAGCGGGCAGGAACTTTTTTCAAGGGGCTTCCGGTTCTGGCTGGACAAATGCCCGCTCCTGCAGTCTGTCCATCTCCCTTCGGGGCGGGACTGACTAGGCCAAAGATCTTGAGTGGGTGTTGGAGATGCTGGCTGGCCTCCTGCCAAGGAACGGGCTGGGCCTCCCCAGTACGGCCTCTTCTCTTGGTCCAGGTTTCGGGGCCTCGAGTCCTCGAGGCTGCAAGGGTGCTAGTCCAGCTGTTCATGGCAGGTGGTGGGTCAGCTTCCCCCTGAAAACACGCCTGGCAGGCCTTATTCCTTGATCACTGGGCTGCCCTCATTGCTTTTTCTCTGCCCAGCATGCCCTTACTTCTCTGCTGCTGGTCAGTGAACCTAACCTTGAATAGGAGAGAGACCTCCTCATCCTAGGGCCTGCCATCCTGGCATACACTGGGGGGAGCATGACACAAGGACCTGTTATTTGCCCTGCTTTGTGACACGGGGAGCAAGCCTCCCTCAGCCTCTTGGTCTTGTTTGCTTTTAGCATTATCTTACTGTTCCCTCCCCACAACCGTAGCAGGAATGCATGGTCTTGCTTCCAGAATCCCAGCAGGCAGTAGCCTTGGCCAGATGTCCCTGGGGCCTTGCAGACATGGGGAAGTGGAGAGGAGGCTCCTTGGACCATTAACAGAGCCAGCCTGCACGGAGGAGGAGAGGAGGATGTCGATCAGTGACAGAGCCCTTGACCAGCCCTAAACCAGGGTTTAACCCCTGCGACCAGAAAAGAGCAAAAAATACAACTGAACCAAAAAGCCAGCCAGGCTTTGAGACCCTGAAATTTCCCAAATGCAGGACTGGGTTTAGTGTCCCAAACCAGGCTGCACAGAGGCTGCTGGAAGCCGGTGACATGAATCCTAGCCAGGTGCTGTTCTAGAGACTCAATGTGCCTGCCTCTCCGCTTAAGGGAAGCAGCCTGACCTGGGGTGGAGGTGGGGGTGAGGGGCAGACAAGGTACACACAGAACCTGCTGATGAAGAGATGAGGGAAAACCATGGTGGAGGGAGGGCTGACTGAGGAGGCCACTCTCCCTCAGAGCCTCACTTTGGTGGGCTGGGTAAGTTTTTTTTTCTCTGCTGATCCATTTGAGATATGGCCTGGGCACTGAGCCACTCTGCTCAATGGAACATTTACAGGCACCTAGACAAGCAGGGAAAAAAACCTTGAAATGTTCCAGAGGGAGCAGTGTGTCCATTCTTCACTAAGTGTCCCTTGGGAATAAAGGGTGGGGCGTCTTGCAGTCCCGCCCCCGGCACATCCTGTACCAAATTCCCTGGCCAGCCCCTCCTGCCTCTGGACAAGCATGTCCAAACATTGATGTAAGAGTGAGGTCAAAGCCAGAGCAGGTATCCCAGAGCCTTGTGAAGGGCACCCACCACTTGGAGAGTTCCCTGAGGGTCTAGTCTTGTCAGTGTGGCCGGCAACCCCTCTTGAGCTGGTTTACCTTGGGCCCAAAAGTCCAGAGCTGAGTCATACCAATGCCAGACCCCTCTGTCCCTTCAGCTGCTCCCTGCGTTTTAGGTAATCTGACACAGGAAGGGGGCCCCACAGTCTTGTTAGCATGCCTGATTTTCCTTCTTTATTAAATGTCTGTTTCAAGATGTAATTAAGTTGAAGGTGACATGTTAGAAAGGACAGGTGCATTGAAGGCATAAGAGTGCTCACAGACCCAGCTCTTGAAATGGGGGCAGGAGAGGAACAAGGTTTAAAAAGGTGAGCCATGCAGCCCACAGAATGGGCCAGGGGTGGGCAGACACAGCCCCCTCCCCAGCTTGGCCACGCTAAGCATCCGGGTGAATGGTCTCTGGGAAATGCCTGGCTCAGCAGGCAGAACTCCTCAAGGGGCCCAGAGACATCTCCGAGACCTAGCCAGCTCCACCCCCTACACGCCACCTACAAGTGACGCCAGCTCCAAAAAGTCATAGGAAAGTTCAGAATGAAAACAAAACCTCAAATGTAAAAAGGCTAAGTGTAGCAGAGTAATACCGGAAACATTATATACACAGGCAGCAATGCCCGCAGCAGCCTCCGGGTCACTCTGGGGGCACTGCAGGGGTCCCCGCAGCTGGTACCACAGGGCCTCAGTACACGGAGCTGTTCCGGATACCACAGCACAGCACCATGCTCAGGATCATCTCAAAGATCTGTGGGAGGACAGTGTGGTCAGCACTACAGGCAAGCAGAGGCATCGCGGCAGAGTTCCTGGCCATCCCACTCACCATAATGACAGCAACCACTATGGCCGCGATGCCAATGAGGTACAGCTTCCCGGAGAAGAGTTCGTCAATCTTCTTGTGGCAGTCTTCCTGCAGGGGTGGCCAAGGTGTGGTCAGGGGTTGGCTTCAGTTCCAAGGAATGGAGAGGACTCACAGCCATCACCCCTGCCTGTCTGAGGAAAGGTGGGTGCAGTGGCCACACATCTGCCCACCCTTTACCTTCCACTGGCTTAAATAAAACATGGGATCTACTGCTCAGAGTTTTGAGGTGACAATTATTGGTATCAGTAGTGTCCTAGTCACTGGTGTGATAGATATTCACGGAAGGCAATTTATCCAGGGTACTTACTGTGGCACACCAGCTGTCAGGAGGCCAGGACCTAGGTGCCCACAGATGAGTGGAGCTGTGTCTCCCAGAGCTCCTCAGGAGACCCTCCTGGGAGGCTTCTGCCCTCAGATGGGCCCTGCACACAAGCCCTGCCCAGCCCTCCCAGCAGAGCAGCCCTGACATGGGCCTTGGTTCCATCTGGCTTGGCCCACAGGACCCACCCAGGACCCACTTGTGTGTACAGACTCAGCTTTCAGCCCCACCCACTGCTGTGCACCTTCCAAAAGGCATTTATGACGGTGGTGTCCGAGGGACACAGGTTGTTCCTCAGCACCGAATTGGACAGCGCAGTCAATGTGTTGGAGCCACAGCAGTTGAGCTGTAGAAATCAAGAGCATTGTGGTTATCTCACCAGGCAATGGAGAAGATAGCCCATATCTATAGGCCTATAGGCCATGTCTATAGGCCATACATATACATTGCCCCGCCATCCCAACATGCACCCAGGACCAGCCTTCCTCCCTGGTTAGATGCACTGCTCAGACATCCCCCCATTGGCCAGATTCAAGAGGTTCCTGCTAGGAAATGGATCACAGAGGGGACACCCCCCATCCCCACCAGATCCTGAGGTCTGGGCTGAAGTAGGACTCATCTAAGAAGTCCCCCCCCCCCATCCTGCAGCCCAATCCTGCTACCCAGCCCAGCCAGTCGTACCGTCTCATGGAAGGTCTTCACCACAGCCTTGGCATTGTTCGCGTCATCATCCACCACAGCCTGCTGCAGAGCTTGGTCATAGAACTGCTTCACATCCTTGGCAATCTGGGGGAGAGGCATAGTCACATACAGTGGAGGCCACCCTGAGGGCAGAGCCCTATACTTTAAGCACCACCTATGTGCTCAGCCCGAGGCAGATCCCAAGGACTCCAGAGAGCCTCTGAAAACTATGGGCTAAGGTGACCCACCACCAGCAACCTGGGCAATGCTCCTTGTGGGCTCACCTGGTCCTTGTTGACAAAGCCCCAGATGCCAGCAGCCACCTCACAGGCAAAGAGGATCACAAGGCAGGTGAAGAACTGGGAACAGTGAAAAAGAGCATAGGCTGTGGGTAGGCCCAGCCAGCATGGGGCTGCCTTCTACAGAAGACAGGCCCATGGGACCAACGGGTGTACAACAGGAAACAGGCAGTACCTACCAATCCATGTAACCTATCTGGAAAAAAAAAAACATGGAGCCACGAAGGACAGAGCCTGAAACACAGCCCCTATAGCAAGATGCAGGCATGCTCGTCCTCCCACAATGCCTGCCTCTGCAGGATAGCCTCCTGGAGGAGGGCAGTTGGGCCAGGGCAGGGGGCTGTCCACAGGTGACAAGCCCAGGTGGCTGCAGCTCCTTCGCAGTGATGGAAAAACTTTTAGTGCTTTCAGTGACACACACAACAGCCCACTGCAACATGAATGCCACAGGTTTGCTGCTACTACTACTAGGGAGAGGTTGGCTCAGCTACTCCCACCCAAGCTGGGCAGGCCCTGGGCAGTACAGCTGGGCCTCTGCTTCCTGCTGGCAGGTGAAGTCCCCAGGGACACCTGACGCTACCCTCAGAGTCGAATTCAATCCCTAAGACATGTACGGCTTTCTTTAAATAAAAAGAAAAAAGAAAAAAAAATCCTTTTTGTAACAGTTATGGGTCTAGATGCCCCCCAAAGCCTCATGCAGTCATGGTGGTGGGCTTCTAGAGTTCACAACTGATTCATGGTCCAAAGCTGGGATTACGGATGTAAGTGCTACAGCCACCCTAGAGCAGGCAGCCTGCATACAATATAAAGGGCAGAAATCTCTCTCTCTCCTCCCCTTTTGCTCTTTTCTCCCACCATGAACTGTTGCCCATCTGCCATACCACCTTGCCATGGAGCCAGCTGAGTACGGACTGAAACCTCCATAAACCATGAGCTAAATCAACCTTTCCTCTTTTAACCTTCAGTGTTGGGTAGTTTGTCTCAGCAACAAGAGAAAAGCAACTAAGTCAGTAACTTAGGAACGAGACATGATAGAGATCAACCATAATGGGATCTAATTTAAGATGCCAACAAGAAAACCAGAAAAGCCAAAATTCTGGCAAGATGTTAAGGCTGCCCAGTGATCCCTAGCCCAGGCTGGGGAGGCCCAAGTGTCACATCCAACGCCCTTGGGTCTACTCTGATGCCCTCTTGGTTGCCTACTGCTGGGCCTGCTGGATCCTACTTTTCAGCATCAGCCCGGAACCCAGACTTCCCAACCTTACCGTCCCCAGCAGACACTGGGACTCCTGGATGGCCCCATAACAGCCAAGAAAGCCGACAAACATCATCACAGCCCCCACAGCAATGAGGATGTAGATGCCTGTGGGGGAGAAGGTCCAGGTGAGTATCCTCACTGGAGGAGGATTTGGGGCACCGGCACTCACTACTCGTTCTCCCTGGCTACTTGAGCCTTGTCTGTGCCTGTGTTTTCTTCCATGGCATGGGAGGGCCAACTATGCTGAGGCCCAGAGAATACTGCTGACAACACTTCAGAGATCTTCCAAGTGGGGCACATGACCCATCTGAGTCTGCTCCCAAAGCCTTTAGGAGGGGCTGGGAGAGACCACCCTATTTTAGCATCAAATCACATACCAAGAGTTATATGGTGGGCCCAGTTGTTGGTAGTAGGGGGCTGTGCAGAGAACCCGGGGATTGGTATGTGAAGGGAAATGAGGTGAAATCCTTTCATTGTGGCCACACAGCAGCCCCACCCCACCCCACCTATCCCTGCCCTTAGGGACACCAGCATTTGAGCTGGAGTGTTCTGTGTGTTTATACTGGACGGGAAGGCCATCAGGCAGGAGTCTGCTGCGTGAGGTGGCCAGACCCATGATGGAGTGGCAGAACAACTTGAGTCTGTGCTGGAGCCAGTCCACCCTCATTTGCCACACCCACTGGATTGGCAGTGCATTTCTGGAGAGGCAGGCAGGGTCACCAAAGGGTAGGGACACCAAGGACCAGCATATGCAGTGTCTCCTTGCCTGCAGCCCCCCTTTTCCTTTGGGAAAGGCCACAGTGTCTCTGCAGGGCCCTCCCAGCTCCTCATCCTTCA